CCCTTCTTCAGGACCCCCTCCCCAAATGGCAGTCGGGGATCGGGATGGGAATAAAGACCCTGACACCCACACCCCCACCCCCAGATGTACTTTTGGTGTGTGTTGTTCTATAGGGTAATTAAAAAAGGAAAGAAGAAAAAAAAAAGAAATGAATTACATAAATGAACAAAAAAGTGTTTTACCAAATATTGTGTTTTATGTCTTAATGTTCCTATGAGACCAATAAAACCTTGAGACAAACRGCAAACACAACATTCACATATTGTTACTTTTATCAAAGAGCTAAAAGATTATTTAAGCACTAGATGTGCTGCTTTGCTGAAATGTGTCAGAGCTGGCGATATAATAAAGTAATAACTTCTGGTTTCTAGTGCAAGAAAAAAATGTAAAAATGTGGTGCAAAAAACGTTTCATGTGGTCAGACTGATTATAGATGATTTTCTGACTTTTGTCTTTCTTTTTCATGCCAAGTCACTGGAAATGACYAGAAACACTTTTAAACCATAAATTGCATGAAGTTGCTTCATGAAACTGATTCTCAGATCTAAAAATTATTGTGAATTAAAGTGGAGGCGTAAATCAAACTGAAGTTTCAGGAATCTTTTGAGTCAACAGTGTCAAATTAGGAAACAAAGAGAGAATAATGTGTTTCTTTCTCTTTAAGGAAAAAGGCCTGAAGATCCATTYAGAGCAGTGCCCCTGCAACCTGTGTGAACCCAAACCAGAAGACCTGGTATGTTTTTTTTTTTTTACATCATATTGTATTTAAATGACACATATCATGCATCATTTTAGCCATTAAATATATTTTGTTGTGTACCTCTATTAGTGCAGAAAATTAGATTTTAGTCTGTCCTGGTACTGCAAAGTCGAGCTGGGTGGTATGACCCAAATTTTATATCACGGTATGTTCAGTAATCATGCATTTAGGTCCGATCATGAAGGGTTGAGAAAAAATCATTATCTGGTCTATCGTTATGTGTTAATAAAACACGTTAATAAAATAAGGACGACTCACCTTGCACACCAGTCAACTCCGCTACACTACAAAACTACTTCCCCAAAGGCTTTTCACAATAGAAGCACACTAGAGTCTCCATGCAATAATGTCTCCGTCATAACGTAGCGCGTTAAATCTAACTGTGCACATCACTGAAGAGTTGTTTACTACTCAGCGATGGTGAAAATGGGATGGTTTTTGTTTTTACGTCTGACCATATAAGCAGCTGAAACACACCACCTGCCGCCAGTTGTTCCAACAATAACGTTAGCATGCTATGCACTTAACTAGGGGTGTCCC